CTCTCTCTTTCCATTACAGGGTTACACCATTCCATTAGACAAGCGTCTGGCTGCAGATGGCAGAGGATTGCAGACTGTTCATATTAATGAAAATTTTGCCAAGCTTGCTGAGGCTCTCTATATAGCTGACAGAAAGGTGAGGTGGTTCTTTAAACTGTTTTGTTCCATGTGATTTTACTTTCTTTGTATTTTTATTGGCTTGGGAAAATCAACTGTGAATAGTCTATGGATTTTTGGTTTGTCCTGCTTCTTGGCTAACAGAAGACATAAGGTCTTATCCCCACCATCTCTGAATCAGTGGCTCAGTGTGGGTTAAATTACTGGAGGTCATGGGTCTTGTTTATCAGCTCTAATTGCTGTGGCTGTCTGGCTTTGCACTTCATCTTTGTGGCTTGATTCCTGCCATGTTTACCAGACAATTCTATGACAAAAGAACTGCTTGCATCCCAGGTGCTATCTTTGTGCCATTTTAACTATGTGTTATGTGTGCAGGCTCGTGAGGCTGTAGAGATGCGTGCCCAGGTGGAAAGGAAGATGGCTCAGAAAGAAAAGGAGAAACATGAGGAGAAGCTCCGAGAAATGGCTCAGAAAGCCAGGGAGAGAAGAGCAGGGATCAAAACCCATGTTGAAAAAGGTATGTTTCTTTGTTATTAAGATGCTATGGGTGTATTGGGTTTTTGTTCACACTCCGAAGAGTCGGTTTGGAGAAATAACCCAAGAACTTATAATGCCTAAATATCAACTGTAATTTCTAAGCATGACATCTGTTCTTCATGTCTTGATCGTTAAGTGGCTAGTTTGATGAGATCTGAATTTGAACCTCACAGCAGTATGTCAGTGCATACAGGTTTAGGATCTTGTTGAGAATTTCAGAGTTGTTAGTGGATCAGCACAAGTAATGGCTTTCATGGACTGTTCTAATTATTATTTTTTTTTTTTAGAAAAGGCTTGTTGCAGATGAAGAGCAACTTTGTTTACAATAACTAAACCATCTTTAAGTTCTCAGAGATGGTAAATGCAATAGTCTGTATCTTGCAGTGTTATAACTGGTCTTGCAGAACAGAAGTTCTGTTGGCCACTAGGCCCAAAAACTGCTAACCTGACTAAATCATAACCATTGTGATAATGATTGAAACGACATTTCAAAGATCAAGATGCTGAACTTACAGAGCAGCTATGATCTCTCATTATTACTAAAAGGTGGAGGATATGGTCATATAATGCCAAGTCCTGCAGCTGGGAGGGAGTAACCTCTTCCCAACAGGCTGGGGACTGGCCAGCTGGAGAGCCACTGTTGAAAAGGACCTGGGAGTCCTAGTGGACAATATGCTAAACAGAAGCCAGCAATGTGCTCCGGCAGCAGTAATGCTAAGGGCATACTGAGCTGTTTCTGCTGGAGTGTAACCAGTAGGTCAAGGGAAGTAGTAATTTCCTTTTACCGGTGACCTGTTAGACTGCATCTGGAATACTGGGTGCAGTTATGGGCCCCCAGGTACAATACAGATATTGACAAACAGGAGTTAGTTCAGTGGAGGGCCACCAAAATGTCAGGGGGCTAAAGCATCTGCCCAGCGAGGAGATGCTGAGAGAATCAAGCTTGTTCTGCCAGGAGAAGATAGGCTTGGGGAGGGCCTACCAGAAGCTTTCCCATACCTACAGGAGACAATCAGGGCTCTTCACTAAGCTCCACGTTGGAAGGATGAGACAGTGGTCAAAAGTTGGAGTGGGAGGTTCCAGCTATGGGCAAGGAGAAAAATTTTCACCATGAGGACAAGAAGCAGTGCGAACAAGCTGCCCAGGGAGGCTGGCAATCTCTATCCTTGGAGGTTTGGCTGAGTGGGCAAAGCCTGAGCAACCTGATTTGACTTCAGCACAAAAGCAGGAGGTTGAATTAGAGGCTCCCTTCTGAGTGATTCTGTGATACTGAGGTTGGGCATTGGTCGGTGGGTGGTGAGCAATTGCATTGTGCATCACTTACTTTGTGTATTCTTTTATCTCTTCCCCCTGCCCCTTTCCTGTCCTATTAAACTGTATTTATCTCAGCCTACGAATTTAATTTTTTTTTTTTTCCCCCCTGATTCTCTTCCCCCATCCCACTGGGGACAGAGGAGGAGCGAGCGAATGGCTGTGTGGCGTTCAGCTGCCTGCCAGGTTAAACCACAACTGTGTTTGAATGATGTTTTTACAATTAAGAGATAAAAGTATGATACAGTGATCTGTAGGTGTTTTAGGATGATATTTCCTAGATGAACAAGTATTCTAAGCTCTTGAAAGTTGAGAGAACATAGTTACTGGATATGTCTACTTTAACGCGCTTGTCAAGGACAGTTAATTGCTTGTGACTTAAGAAAGCTGTGGCTTTCCAGTTGTTTAATTTGAAGTGTAACAGTTTAAATAGTGCTGAGGGTCGTTTCTGTTCTGCGAAAGAATACTGAATTGAATTGCTGTGCCAATGTCTGTGGCATAATTAACTTAAACTTCAAATATTTGTCTGTAATGAGCAATCTTGCATTTGTTTAGAGGATGGCGAAGCTAGAGAAAGAGATGAAATCAGACATGACCGGCGCAAAGAGAGGCAGCATGACAGAAATCTTTCTAGGGCAGCCCCTGACAAAAGGTGAGTCACAGAAGAAAGCTGCTTTATTCCCGTACTGGCACTGCCTTCCCTACTAGGGAAGCTGCTACACTGGGCTTTCTCCTTTTCCTTGATGCAAGTGCCTGAATTTTACCTCATGGAGATACTCATCATTTATTCATTGTATGAAATTATATTACTGTGTTAGAGTACTGCAGGACACTCCTGTAAATTTAGAATTTTCCAGATGAATGGCGGAATGGGGGTTTGTTGGGTTTGGGTGGGTTTTTCATTAGCAGAACTTCAGTATATTCAGATTTAATTAAAATGTTGACAGCAAAGGTTGAAACCTGGATCCTGTAACTTCAGTGAGAACAGAGTAGCACTAGTGGCTTTGTTTCCTGAAGCTGTTCATTTGAAGTAAGCTTAGATTTATGAGTGTAGGCAGAAGTATCTTGTTTGCCAAAGCCAGTGAGATTTCTGAGCACGAATGGTTTCTGGAGGCTTAAAATCTCTAATATCTTAAAATTAGATTGCTCAGCCTTCCCAGAATATAATTACACTGGTTCTTGCAAAAAATAAATATGACATTTTAGACCAAGTCAGCTTGATGTACATTGCAGATAGCGGAAAGCAAATTTAAATGTCATATCCAGCTGAACATAACTTTTCCAAATGTTTCCTTTGCCAGGAGACAAATTTTAAATGTTACCTAGTAAGGAAGGGCAACAGTCTGGCTCCTGAGGCACATTGTCAGCAACTAATACAGGATGAGGTTGCAGCTGAGCATGTCAACAAATATGGCTTACTGACCTAATAAAACTTAAAATTTTTAATTCAGGTCAAAGCTGCAGAGAAATGAGAACAGAGATATCAGTGAAGTTATTGCCCTAGGGGTACCCAACCCCAGGCCATCCAATGAAATCCAGTACGACCAGAGGCTGTTCAACCAGAGCAAGGTAAAAATACCTTTTCACAGCTGTGTAGCTTTCTGTGAGAACACACTCGGCCTTCCTTAGTGGGTGTGGGTAGAATACTAAAGGGACCTTGTTCTCACGTTAGTGTCAGTACACTCTGAAAGAATCTCTACGTAACTGGCTAGGAAACTATTGATCTCCTTTATCCGTAGCTGATGCAACCAAAATGGAATATTCTGAATGTATAACTGGATTAAAGTGGGTTATTCTGTGTTTTTTCTCACTGGGGAATGGGGAGAAGGAAGCTATTTTGCCTTCAAGCTGCAGCGACCTCATTTTTTTTTCTTTTGTACAAATTACTGACTAAGGGAAATCTGCTCTGAGAGAGAAGCAAGTAAATACTTTTATTCCCATTATTGCTTATGTTAAAAATCCTTCTGAAGATACAGTTAAAGCAGCAACATTTATTTTCCCTGAACTTCATACCATTCAGAGATTAAAAAGTAGATCAGGCTTCAGAAAGTCCCTGAATAGACCTGCAGTTTGTCAATCATTCTTTTTCACATCTCCAATGAAAGACTTGCAGGCAGAAGGGAAAGCTGATGAATCAAAGTGAACGAGCAGGCACTTCTACTTTCACAGTTTACATAACCCTCTGTGTGATTTGGATCACTCAGCTTAAATCATGTTTTCCAGAAATTCTGAATAATACACACTTCTGTACGGTTGTACTTGGCTATTATAGACAGCTGTACTTGAAGGGCAGGCTGAAACGATCCATTATTCTGAAATATGAACAGCCTGTAATCTTTCCTGTTGCTTTCTGGAAGAGTAGAAATAGCCCTGACCAAGGCTTGTAATGATTGTGTCGTGTTCTCTGGACTTAATCCCAGACCCAAAACCACTCGTATCCTAATGAAGTGCTTGATCCCATTTGAAATCCATAGTAAATCACACAATACCATCTCTGTGTGACACCGTTAGTGTATCTCGATGTTAAAATAAACTCATTTGTGTTACATTGCTTGTTGTTCTTTCTTCTTCACAGGGAATGGACAGTGGCTTTGCTGGAGGAGAGGATGAAATTTATAATGTTTATGACCAGCCTTGGAGAAGTGGCAAGGATATGGCCCAAAACATCTACAGGCCAAGTAAAAACTTGGATAAGGACATGTACGGTGATGATCTAGAGGCTCGAATAAGGACCAATAGGTAAGAAAACAAAGTTTAGAAATACTCTTAAGTAGCGCTCTGAATTTACAATCAAATGAGCATCACCTCTTTTCCTGCAGGTTTGTTCCCGACAAAGAGTTTTCTAACTCAGATCGTAACACCAGAGGGAGGGGCAGAGACGGACCAGTTCAATTTGAGGAGGATCCATTTGGTTTGGACAAGTTTCTGGAAGAAGCTAAGCAGCATGGTGGTTCTAAACGGCCATCGGATAGCAGCCGCCCTAAAGAACATGAGCATGAGAGCAAAAAGAGGAGGAAGGACTGAATGCCTCTGCTCCTTGAGAGGTAGAGAAATGGACTCCAAGCTTGGACTTCATGCAAAAGGCATTTTTAATATCAGAGGTGTATAGGGGGATGGCATTGTAACCCAGCAGTTCACAACTCTTGTCGTGTGGATATATATGCACACACTAATTCTTCTACATAGGACAGCTACCCCTGGAGAGTGGAGGAATGGAGACCACTTTGAAACATTTCAGAAGGGAATTCTTTAGCCAGTACTCTGACTTTGCTGATTCCCTGTTGCCCAACATCTCAGGGTAAGAATGTAGCCCCTTCCTACAGCTTTAGTTTTTGTAGGTAGCTAAAGCTTTTATTCATCTGTTAAAAGCTTTCCTGCTGTACATAATTACTGTCTTAATGCTGTAATGGATGCTAGGGAGTTTATGGGTCAGTGTTTCTTTAGTATGGCTATATAGTTTATTTGAACAAGGAGGGGAAACAGCTGGATTCTGTTTTAAAACAAATACTCATTCATAGTTTCTCAAGTAGTCTTTATTTTAGTTTCTTTACATTTAGTGAAATAAAGCCTCCTTCCACCACTCACTCACTTTGATTCTGTCTCTGACTTCGTCTTCTCCCGAGCTGCTGTTTGAGAGTGAGCTGAAAACAATGGAAATTACTAAAATTAGTTAGGCAAGAAGGCTTGGTATTTTTCATTTCTGATCTTCTAAAACATTCATATGGAAAGCAGAAGATGGCTTTATAACCAATTCAGTTTCATATGCCATAACCACAAATGCTAAGCTCCTGATGGGAAAGTTGAGTATAATTTGCAATTGCTAGCTGTATCAGCAAAATACATCTTAAAACCTTGTGTTTTCAAGTGGAACTAATAGAAGGTAACTGTCTAGACCTAGCCTAGAACAAAGTGGGAGAAGTACTCATGTATTTTGCTTCTAGCAAAGCTTGGATTTTTGAAGAAATGAAGAAAGCTAAATACTGCCTCCCTTCTTTTTATTACACTATAAAGAAGCCTCTAGCTTTTCCACCTCTCAGGAGTATAGTCCTCAAAACCTAGGCAGTTAAGTGAATGTGGCTGTCTTACAGCTTCAAGAATAAAAAGCAGCAAAATTATTTCCAAGAAATTGATACTAAATACTCATCTATGCTATTCCAAGTACTTATTTTGATAATTACATACAAATAACACCCTAGTTATTTTCAGCCCAATTTATCAGCCTGTTGCCTGACTTGTTACAGTTTAAGTCTGAAGTCAGCAAGCCACTCCTTAATTTCTGCTTCCATTTTTGCACCACAGCTGTAACTCACAGGTCAGCTCTTCTTAGGAATAGGTACTGAAGTAACCACAACCAATGAAGACTTCCACTGTAGTCTTGTCAAGCAAAATACTTTACCACAATCAACATACTGCATCCCTGAAGTTTCTGGCCAATTAATTTTACTCTTACCATCTCCTAGCATTGCAAGTCTCAAAAGGAGAAACTAGTTGTCAGAAGGATATTGAAGAATTCTTACTAATTATTCAAGCAGCCTGCTTATATACCAAACTGATTGTTGCTCATGGTTTCACTCTCTACTAAGTCTGAGTAGCTTGGTCAACTGCAGCACATGCATGTCTACAAGAAAATCCCCTTAGTAATTTGCCCCTATTTAGTGAACATACTAGATGCAAGTTTCTAATGATTTTGACATGAGACTTGTTAATTTATTAATGGCTTTGGGCAGCCATTGACTCACTGTCCTTGTATCCTTATCTGTTAATACCACTGCTTACTAAATGTTTGGAAAGCAGTGGGATGGCCATTTCTTTGCTCTATTTATTTGCTATAGTGAAGCCAGATGGTGTAGTTGTCTGGCTCTAACTGACCCGTAAATGACAGCCACCTTCCTATGGCTACTAGACCAAAGGTTTTTCACTGATGGTGTACACTGTCTCTTGCTACCATACACTAATGCACTGAGATTGCCAAAGTGCCATATTTTTTCCTTTACTAACAATTAAAATGTTAGAGACATCAAGTAAAAAACAAAAAAGCTACGCCAAAGCTAATTTAATGTTATCTTGAACACATGAAAGCAGGTAGGTGATTTTTTCCTGTAAGAAATGATGGCTGAAAAAAAAAATTAATTTTCACTAAGTTAAAAGCTTAGCTTTACATTCTTTGTCATCTTTCCCCTCCTACCCAACATTCAAACTGATGTTGGAATCCACCTGTAGCAACCTGTATTACAAATAATAATTAGCTGCATGGCAATTCCTGAACAGTCTTACTGCATTCATATTCCTTTAGCTTAGCAGGAGGCTTTGACCTCTGGTACGTGATTTCTGTGGTATCTAATGATCTCAGACCCTAACAAGAAGAGTGTGTGGGGGGGGGGGAAATAAACAAAACTGTTAATTATTTAAAACACATTAAAAGCACACTAAGTGGCAAAATGCTTAATTGCACTTGGAATTAGTATGGCAATATTTTGATGTTACTGTGTCCAACCAAAGGCAGAATTAAAGAGCTCAATTCATTACATTACTTCATTAAAGGAATTAGCATATTACCTTGGCACCCTCAAGTATGTGGGAGTCCTTCTGAAATACATTCTGAACATCTTGTGGAGTCGAGAATTTAATCCAGCAGTAACGTTTGTGAAAGCCTGTATCTTTGTCCTAGTTACCAGTATAAAAAAAATAAAATCCAATTACTGTAGGAAATATTCACATAGGCTATTAAAAACTCTCTATAGAAATTCAATTTCAATTCAGAAATTATCAGAGAAATCAGCGCACTTGCTGTTTCAGGAGCCTTTTTCACACTTCAAGACATTTACTCTCATTGACAGCATACAGGGCTGTTCTGCATCCCTTTCTCTCAATCTGAGTCCAGTAATCATAAAAAAAAAAAAAGATTTTAAGATTTTAAGTTATAGTTGAAGACTGGAATAATACATAGCTCGTTGTTTCAAACTGCAGTAGTTATCTACTATTAAGACAGTCACAACAGAACTGACATTTAAATGGCTGCCCAATTTGAAAATAAGCCTGCAACTGTACTTGAAATGCATTAGCAAGATAAAGCAGCTGCTTAAGATGCTAAGAAAACAGGCTGCAATTCGAGATGACAAGCACCAACTGCCCTGAAAAGAAAAAAGTTATTTTTAAGAATAACTTGCCAGTCAGAAGAGACAGTTGTCAATAAAGAGGAGATAACACAGAAAAGCCAGGTCTACCAAAGTGCCTTCTATCCCAGTTCTGATCCCCATCAGAGTTAACAACTGCTCTGCAGCTGAATTCACTGATCATCAGGCATAACTGGCAGCACTTCCAAATACAGGTGAAGTTTTCACCCACAAGGTACTGTAGTCACACTGCCCCATTTCAGTATCCCAGTGAGGTCTTAATTAGAGTATCTTACACTGCTGGCAGATTTTTGTACCTCTGGCAGTTTTAAGCAAGAATGAACACTCCTGAAGTCATCACTGAATCAAAATATGCATATGTGTATCAATTCAGCTTTAATCAGCAATGGAGGCAGGTTTATGGTAAGCTGCCAGACTTCACAATGAAGCAACACATTCTGTCCTGGGCCTGAGGAACAGTCTGGCAGGCAGACACCTAAGCTTCGGTGTTTAGAAATAACCAGACTGTTTCCAACTATCTTTCTCTATTTCCAAACTAGTCCTCAATGGAGAGTGAACCCATCAGCTCAATAACTGAAATTCACTACACACTGAGCTTAGGAGACCATTACTTCACATGGAGAAACACAGGCGGGCAAGAGAACCTCTACTCCTTCAGCAATGACCTGCAACTTACTCGTAACAGAGTGGGAAAGGAACGCTTTTTTTTGACTGTTCATCTCTAAGAAACTGCACTAGATACTCTTATCCCTGAGCTTTGTGCTCAGAAGATAAATAAATGGTAGAGGCATGAAGAGCTGACAGCTTGGGAGCATCCTGAAGAGGTTGGGGTTTTTGTGTCAGCCCAGAACTCTAGATGAGGCAGCAGGAAAAGACTGTAGGTTCATACCCACACTTTTTAGATTTTTTTAGGCCAGTAAGACCAGGCATATAAACACTTTATTCTTTGTCAGAAGAAAGGCAACACCATGACAGAGAAGCTCAAAGCACTTTTAGGTTAATTATTCAGAGATGGCAGCACCAACAGTATCTGAGGGATGTGCTTTCTAAAGCTCTTTAAAGCTAATGGAAACCGCTAAGCTTCAATGAGGCCTACAGCTCGCAGACAAGTGGTGGCACCCACTAGGAGAAGGAACTAAAGGTGGCGAGCCCCGAAAACCTGACTAGAGCACAAGAAGAGGCTTCCAGAAAGCAGCTCCGGGGAAGCGGGGGAGCCGGCTTCGGGGCAGGGCCCCAGTAGCAGGACCAAGCCCGTTTTACCCAGAAGACACGAACAGCGGCCTGGAGGACGAGCGGGTACTCACAAACGGCAGCTGGCACCTCTGCACGGACCCGAACTGGGAGAAGTACTCCTTCAGCTCCTCTGCAGGGGAAACGCACACACACCCGGTTACACGGACCCACGGGCCGGACCCACGGGCCCGGCACCCCCGCGCAGC